GGGCTTCAGATTGGTTTCACAGGTCGGCGCAACATCGAGGGCCGAAGAGCCTGTACTGCACTGTAATGTCCTATGTTCTATGTTCTATGTAATTCCCAGGTTGGAAACTGTTCTGTTCTGGAGTCCGTTTGCAAGTCAATTTGTTTGTAAGTTGGAGCACAATGCAGGACAATAGAAAGCAGCTGTCGCAAGAATAGGAAATGTTTGTATGTTGGATCTTATAAAATGAAAACCATGTATGGGATCACACTTATAAGTATGAGCATTTGTAAGTTGGACTTTAATAAATTGGGCACCAGTGTTCTGTTCTGGTTCCCACACGTTAGGAGAGATGTCTCATATACTTACAGACATTTACAGCACAATAAAAGGCATTTGTCCCATTACGTCCATACCATTCAACAATGATCTGACTACAATAATCCAATTTTCCACCACCTGGCCCACAACCCTGGAGGCTATGGCAACATAAGTGAATATCTAAATATTACTTAAATGTTATGAGAGTTTCTGGTTCAATCACCCTTTCAAGCAATGATTCCCAGGCTCCTAACACCTTCTGGGTGAAAAACGTGCTTCTCAACACTCTTCTTAGCCTTCCACATTTTAGTTTACATTCAGGCCGCCTGGTTATTAACTTGTCTATTGATGGAACATGTGCCTTTCTTTGCACCTTATCTCTGCCCCCATGCTCTCATATAGGCAATCCCTGGGTTGCGAACCGGTTGAGTCATTTGCAAGTTGATTTTTACACAAGTTTGGAACACAATGCAGGACAATATAAAACAGCTATTCATACGTGTCGTAACCATTTGCATGTCAGGTCTTTAGAATAACATCCTATACGGGATTGTATTTATATGTTCAAGCGTTCATGTCAGACGTTCGTAAATTGGGGGCACCCCTAATACATCTCCATCAGGTCCCTAGTCAACCTTTGCTGCTCCATGGAAAACAACCCAAAACTATCAAATCTTCCCCCATAGCCCAGACTCTCCTGTCCAGGCAGTGTTCTGGTAAATCTCATGTGCACCATCTCTAGTGGAATCACATCCTTCTTGAAATGTGGCAACTAGAACTACGCAAGAATACTCCAGTTGTGGATTAACCAGCATTTTATACAGTTTTAGCATAACCTCAGTGCTCTTGAGAAAACCTTGGCAGGTAGGATCAAGGAAAACCCAAGGCTTTCTATACTTATGTGAGGACCAAGAGGATAGCCAGAGTGAGGGTAGGGCCAATCAGGGACAGTGGAGGGAACTTGTGTACGGAGTCAGAGGAGGTAGGGGAGGTCCTTAATGAATACGTTGCTTCAATATTCACCAGTGAGAGGGACCTTGATGTTTGTGAGAACAGCATGAAACAGGCAGATATTCTCGAACAGGGTGATGTTAGGAAGGAGGATGTGCTAGAAATTTTGAAAAACATGAGGATAGATAAGTCCTCTGGGCCAGACAGGATATACCCAAGGTTTTACGGGAAGCGAGGGAAGAGATTGCTGCCCTTTTGGCAATGATCTTTGCATCCACTGTCCACTGGAGTAGTGCCAGAAGATTGGACGGTGGCAAATGTCATTCCCTTGTTCAAGAAAGGGAATAGGGATAACCCCGGAAATTACAGACAGGTCAATCTTACTTCTGTGGTGGGCAAATTATTGGAAAGTATTCTGAGAGATAGTATTTATGATTATTTGGAAAATCACAGTTTGATTAGAAATAGTCAGCATGGCTTTGAGAGGGGCAGGTCATGCCTCACAAGCCTTATTGAATTCTTTGAGGATGTGACAAAACACATCGATGAAGGTAGAGCAGTGGATGTGGTGTATATGGATTTTAGCAAGGCATTTGATAAGGTTCCACATGGTAGGCTCATTCAGAAAGTAAGGAGGCATGGGATTCAGGGAAATTTGGCTGTCTGGATACAAAATTGGCTGTCCAATAGAAGACAGAGGGTGGTAGTAGATGGAAAGTATTCAGCCTGGAGCTCAGTGATCAGTGGTGTACCGCAGGAATCTGTTCTGGGACGTCTGCTCTTTGTGATCTTTATAAATGACTTGGATGAGGAAGTGGAAGGGTGGGTTAGTAAGTTTGCCGATGACACGAAGGTTGGTGGAGTTGTGGACAGCATGGAGGGCTGTTGTAGGTTGCAACAGGACATTGACGTGATTCAGAGCTGGGCAAAGAAGTGGAAGATTGAATTCAACCCAGAAAAATGTGAAGTGATTCATTTTGGAAGGTAGAATTTGAATGCAGCGTTAATGGCAGGATTAATAATATAAGGCGTTTCCTGAGCTCTCACTTCTGAGTTGAATTCCATTTGCCGCTGTTCTGTCCAGATGATCAGTCTATTGATGTCCTCCTGCACTTTAGAGCTATCTTCCTCACTATTTACTGTCCTTCCAATTTTCATGTCATCACAAACTTCTTCATCATACCCTTATATTTAAGCCCAAATCATTAACATGAACTACAAAAAGCCCTGGTTCCAGCACCAAGCCCTGCAGAACCCCACTGGAATAGAATTCTAGTCACAGAAACATCCCTGTACCATCACTCTCTGCTTTATGTTTCTCAGCCTGTTTTAGATGCAATATGCTGTTTTGCCTAGAATCTCTCAGGCTCTTGTTTTCTTGACTGGTCTGCCATGAAGGACCCTGTTAAAAATCTTACTGAAGTCCATCCACTAAAGACAACATCAAATGAATTACCCTCATCAACAATCCTGAAAAGTTCCATCAAATTTGTCAAACATAATTCATGCTGACTAGCGCTGATTAATCCATGTGCATTCCAAGTGCAGCCCTACAGAATTACTTCTCATAATTTCCCCACCACCAAGATTAGATTGACTGCCCTGTAATTTCTTGGTCTGTCCCTTCCTTTTTTATGTGAATAAATTAAGAGAATGCAGCAGAGGTTTACAAGAATGATTCCAGGCTGAAACACTCATCTTTAAGTTGCATTGAAGATATTGGAACATGTTTACCTTGAATAAGAGAAAACTGAGGGAAGATTTGAAAGACATTTTCAAAATCATTAGGAATCTGGACGGAGTAGATGGGGAGTAATTGTTTCTGCTTGCAAAAGGACTGAGAGCCAAAGGGCACAATTTTAGTGTTTTGTTTGCAAAAAAAAACAATTATGAGGTGAGAAAAAATTTTACACTGAGCAAATATTTAGGTACAGGATTGCACTGCCTGGAAGTGTGGTTGGAGCTAGTTCAGTTGAAGCATTCAAGAGGGCATTAGAAAACTATTTATAAAGGAAAAACCATGCAGGATTATGGGAGGAAATATCATGAAATATCCTGTTAATTTAGCTCAGAGTCATAAAAGTAACAAAATAGACCATAATGAAGCAAATGAGCCCACGGATAATTGACTCAAGAAACCAATCAGGAGACAGTGGGAAGTAATACCAATCAGCATCCGTCTTCCTTTAAGGCCAACCTAAATGTAATGATGTAATTGATCATGCTATAGCTGGAAGGAGTTAATAGGCACCAGCTTTTAG